TATATATATATATATATATATATATATATATATATATATATATATATATATATATATATATATATATATATTCGAGTTTTTCAATTGGTAATTTTTATATGAAATTTTTAATATTTACGAGTGACAATTCAACATGAAAGCTATTCGTAAATACTTTTGGCATCTCACATTCATTCTAAACTAAGGTGACCAACTGTCCGAAGTCATGTAAAAATTAGCGAACATCAAAAATTAAAAATTATGTTATTTATTTTAACTTTATTTTTCTAAAACTTCTCCGTGTTTTGTATTTGAAATTTGAATACAGATAATTTCGCAAAATAGTATCTCTCAATGCTAAAAAATTAAACAGAGCAAGCTGATATAAAACAAAAAAAACAATTTCAGTAATTAAAATTTTACAAGAAATCCAAGATAAGTCGTACAAAACTTACAAAAACGAAATTTCTCAAAATGTTCCTTCCTAGTTTTAGGGAATTGATCACCTTATTCTGAACGTCGATGGAAAATTATAATAAAATCTGTGAGGCAGCAGTGACACTCACTGGGGCGTGTGCCTTGGTGGTGCGGGGTGGTGATGGTGGTAGGGATAGTACTGGTAGTGATGGTGTTGCACTCCTTGCCATACCTCGGAGCCCGCTTCCCCGTGGCCATGGCCCGGATGAGGATGCGTGTATCCGATGGTGCCTGCGGCGGCGGCTGCCGCGGCAGCGGCTGCGGCCGCTTGGTACTGCGACGTGGTCACCGGGTATTGCTGATGCTGTTGTTGCTGCTGCTGTTGTTGCGGATGATGATGTTGCTGCTGCTGTTGTTGCTGCTGCTGAGATGGAGGTTGTTGCGTTTTATTGTTTCTTGGTGGACTCGGCGCGGTCACTTGTTGATCCGTAGGAGAAGTCTGCCGCCACTTGCAGTCTCCGTTCATGGAGTTCATCTCTGCTAGCGACTTGAGCGGGTCACCGGTTGCGTTGGTCGAATGCGTGGACGAGTGAGTCGAATGCGGCGTCGGCGGACTGTAACTGCCGTTGTTCCTGGGCGGTGTACGAGATGGCGGAGCACCCCACATCAGTACGGTCTGCCGTGGCGCTTCGTTGCTACCGTAAACTTCCGGCTTCACGTCCTCCATCTTCGGCGTCAATACGCCGTTGGCCGCGCCGGTCACTGGCGAACTACCAGCGGAGTTGCTGGACGACGCACCACCTTCCAGCGAATGTCTGCTTCCAGCACGCACGACATTGATGTCGGTCGTCGCTGGATGCATCGTGGACGCACTCGCTACTGGACTGGCAGCGTAGGGCGAGCTGCTGACGCTACCGGGATGTCTCGTCTCTACATAGCTGTACTTGGGCGACTCGCTACTGCCGAGTTGTTGGCAATAAAGCTTCTCCTCTGTCTTACTGGTCAGCTGATGAGTTTCATATGTGGGCAGCGAGACGTCGATGAAGCCGTTATATGCGGTGCCGGTATGGTATTCTGGGTAGTACGAACCCAGCGGCCTGTATTGAAACAGGTTTTCCGTCGCAGCTGTGAGGTACCTATATAGAAAAAAATAATTTCTGATAAATACATTTTTTCAATGCATTTACTTCTCTTTGCATTGTTAAATTGGTAAGTATAACGCATTGGTGTCTTTTGTGTTGCAAGTATTTTTACTTTATAGTTAGTTATACGTTTTATTTGATAATTATATAGAAAGAAAAAGTTTATTTTATAGTTAATTTAATATGAAATTATAGCTGACGATATTAAATGAGACAATAATATATGTCCTTAAGTTCAATAATTTTTTGTATGGTTCACTTTAGAGTGACTTACCTGTTGTCTAACGCAGTGGCTGGATAGAGAGTCTGATGGTAATTGCCCGTATGACCGATATAAGTCGTTAAAGAGGGGTCGGTGCTTGCCGCCACTGCAGTGGGCGCGTACGGTGTTGGGTACATGGTGTTCAAATTGCTATAAGCAGCTGCAACCGCGGCCGCCGCGCTAGTGTCCGCCGCGAGATAGTCGACAGAAGCGACTGTCGGTGTAACGGGCGGTGAGACCGACGACTGGGCAGAGAGTTTGGTGCGTTTGCTGCGGCAGGTCGACAGGAAGTCCCGCAGTTGCGTTTTGTACCGCCTGTTCACTCTTTGAGGCGCCGGCTGCGCTGGTAACGTCGGCGTCATCACTGACCCCGTCAGACTGTCGCTGTCCGAAAAGTAACTGTTGGTCAATCCGGCGTCTAAATAGCTCACTTTGAAGTCCATTGTGCGCTTGCCGAGCAAATCTCTGCCCTCTTCCTCCCTAAAACGAGAAAATTCGTCAATCGCATCGCTGATTTATTAGTCGACGTCGAGACGTTAATTGGAAACTTACATAAGAGGTCGATGAGTACTGAGTACGAAGTCTGGTTTCGAGTTCTTGTAGACCAATCTGGAGCTAGTTTGCAACCACTGCCACCCACCGTCCTTCGTTTGAAATCTGTACGCTATCATGCCTGACGCACCAGTTTTCAATACTAAAACGGAAATAAAAAGAAAGAAATTAGTCGATGCATTCAGTTAATTGTTAGATTAATAACTTCAGATTAATGCTGAAGAAGAATTTATTATTATTCAATAAGGAAATTTCAGAAAGTGAAATGAGATTTCATGCACAACAGCATTTTTATCTTGGTACAAATTAAAGATACACATGATCCACTTACGTTCTTGATGTGCGCTGGCAACGTAAGCCAGGTCGTCATAATGGACTAGATCGTAGCCACCCAGATTCGTTAGCTCCGCGTCGGAATATCCCAAGAGCATCTTTCCTCTCTGGTCCATCGTTACGAGCGCGAGATCTAATTTATGCTTGCTCTTGAACATTACCTCCTTCTGCGGCACCTCCAACAGCGAAGGAGGTCCGAACGGTGTGCACAGAGCGAATAAAGCCAGTGGTGGCTCCTCTGTCTTCCGATTTTGACCGTGAAGCACTTTAACTCGGCCCCTAATGTCAAGGCGCTGCAACAGATATCCCATAAATTGCGACAAATGTCATCTTGAAGGAGTAATATACTTTGAATATCAACAATTAAATATCGTATGTAGTTCATCACGAACGTAATAAGCAAAATTGATTAATACACAGATAAATGTGAATTTCAATTTGACGCTAATCAATATTATTATTTCTTTATTATCATGATTACTATATTATGTGTATTTTACTATTATTATTTATTATTATATTTATCATATCGTCAAAGTTTATTATATTTAGCAGCTCTTGTAATTCTCTTGTAGTTCAAAAGATCTCTCGCAAAGGCCATTCAATGAAGAAATATGCAGTCGAGGAAGAACACGGTGCTCTTAACAGAACAATCCTACGTGAAACTGTCTTGGCGAAGAAGAAGCGAAGAAAAATTAGCGCGCAGTAGCTAGGTCGGCGGTGGTCCCTGTCGCGAGGGATGCCGCCAAGGGCGGAGGCAGGTCCTGGAGAAGGTGGCGGCGGTGAGCCTGTTGCGCCGTAAACTCTTTTACGATTACAGTTTCATTTTCATAAACGTCAAAGCGGCGCCGTTTTTGTTCCAACTCACTCGAACGTGGCCGCGCGCTCGTACATGCCCAGCGTGGAACCTCAGTCCAGGAGAGGAGAGCGCACACAGGACCTCTCTCACTCTCTCTCTTCCTCGTCCTTGTCCCTTACGGGATAATACCGTTGTCTCTGTTCACCGCGTTCGACATCGTATACCTGTGCGCACCCGCGCGCGGTGTGTTTGCCGTAAGATAATTAGTGTTTTGCCGCGGCTCTCCTCTCGCACTCTGGGCCCCCTCTCCACCCTCCTGCCCTACCCACGGGGAGAGCTTGGTTTTGTGTTTGGTCCTTGATTTATACCTTTTCTTGGACGCCGTCGAGACAACGGTACCAACGATGGACAGCTCGGCGGCCGTCCGGACGAATTATCGTTTCAATCTCCGCTGCTGCGCTGTCACGGTTCATTGGCTGGGCCTATGATTATACACGTCCAGCGTTTGCACGGGGAATGTCGGCCCCGCGGCCTAGATTTAAGGCCGTTGACGTAAGTTGGCTATTCGAAACCCCCGTCGGAATTGTGTTCCTGTTCAGAAAATTCGTAAGCTCGGTACGCTCGGTTGCTCGGAATAACGTCGTGATTGCGGAATAATCATCGGGAGTGTAACACTCTCTCTCTCTCTCTCTCCCTCGACAGAGTGTGTTTTACTTTTAATGACGCATTCGTGTCAAAAGTTCAGTGAAAGTTCTTATCGTTCGGTGCACTTGCGTCTGAACGTTGTCTCCTCGTTTCATATCCGAAATATAACAGACTTTCTACACACAATCGTAGTTAAAAAGATAAATCCACAAAAATATTTCAAGGCTCCAAAGATATAAGCAAAATGACATAAATTAAATAGGAAGGGTTAATGAGAATTGCTGTTGTTAGTGCATGATAATATTCATGGAGTAAATTGCAAATCTACTATATTTAAATAGCAAAAAAGATACAGAATTAAATAAAACAATCTCGAACGTTTTAGTCCTTCACATTTTTGGACTCTGTTAATAATTAATCTTATCGCTTTGCCTCGGTGGCGGATCAAGGAGGTAAGTAGGAAACGCCCAACGAAGCCAGGATCGAGAGTGGAGGGAGGTCGAACATGAAAAAAAGCAATTATATGAGAGCGGAGGAAACAGTGGCGGTGTGGTGAAGCGGAGAAGTTCGCCCCTTCTCTCTTTATGACAGTGAAATTATTAATTACTGTTTTGTATGCCTGCCGGCGCATCGCTTTTGTAACCGTGAAGGAACGTTGTGCGCCATTCTGCCGACTAGCTGCCGCACTTTCGCCGGGATTCTTGCCGGACAGTCAGCATGTCATTTATTGTAATTACCTGGCGCATTTGCCGCAAAGATTTCCAGATCGTTTACGTGCTAACGCGTGGCCGAGCAAAGTACCGAGATCGAATTAACTTCGAGCACGAGGGAACATCTGTTCGTCTCATAAAGCAAATGCAACTAGATTTCAAGTAGTCGAGTAAACAACAAATAAATGATCATAGATATTGCGCGGTGATTTTTAATATTTATATTTCGAGCCCACGAAATATTGATTTTAACTCTCTGCTCAAGAATTCAATGTTGGAAATTAATTCTGAAAACTGAAGACACATAACCATTCAAATTTGTACAAAAAAATTGACATTACTCAGCAAAAATTGCGCGCGTTAGTCGCACGGCTGAATACCGTAAAAGTAAGAGTGAAAAGATAAAAGTGCACAATGAATGAATGCCATATGAAGAAGCGTACTCGTACGTACCAGAAAACCGGATGTATTGTCCAGAAGACAGCGGAAGCGAACCGTAAAGCTGCGCTCGAGCAGATGACTGTGTTGGGGCGAGAGTGCATCGTGCAACGGCAGGCTCGCACTTTCGGCGGGCAGGAACGAGTTCCACATTAATTGTCGCTGCAATTCCTCCCGGTCCTCGCTGTGCACCAATTCGTAGACACTCTGATGGACGATGTCAGACTGAAAAAAAAGTGACAAGATTCCATGAGATGAAAATTGCTTTTCGATTAAAACAAGAAATAAATTGGCAAAATTGCTTTGAAAAATTCAGTGAAATATATTTAAGTAGCAACGACAGAGCGGGACACAGCAGCAGAGTGGAACGTTCTGCGTGTATTGTTATCGAATCGTTGGAACATTACCACCGCGCACACACGAGACATTTCTATAAAATTGAATGACCGATATATCACGATGATTTATCGCTGACATCGAGAAAAATAGCCGAGATTCGCTTATTCACGACACGCGCAATACAGATTTTATTGCGCCCCCTACATAATTATCGTTCGTTTATTCGCAGTTTAGATGCCGGCCATAAAACGAGTTAATAATAGTGCTCGCGTTCTTTGCGTCGCGAGCACCTGACATTCGCGTTTATCCAATCTAAGAATTCGTGCATACATTCTGTCGTGTGTCACGAACGTGCGCGAGCGCCGAGCCGTTATTTACGATTAACTCTTCGACTACCGACCGTTTCCTTCGCGTCAGCCACGTCGCGATCTCGTTCACGTTAATTTTGCATCGAGAGACAACAATGCGTGCCTAAGAGACTGCCGTAAGATAGTCTGCGTTAAAGTTTCCTAAATTAAAAATAGGTCACGAGGGGTGAAATTTTTATTATTTAAGTTCGCGGAATTTATTTAAACGCATCAGTTTAAATTATCGAAAAATATCATGATAATTTATACTTTTCCAATAATCAATAAAGAAATATTAAAATTATTGTATATTCAAAGTGAATGTAAATACAAATAATACAATACAAATAAATTACAAATAAAAATTTAATTATAATAAAAAATTAATTCAAGAAAAATTTTAAATAAAAAAATGATAGCTACTACATCTCAAGTTATCAATAGTTTCATTATAACACAATATATAATGCAAATAAAAAGACAATATACAATGCAAATAAAAAAAATCTTATTAAGATAATCATTAAAATAATTATATCGTTATAAAAGGTATTATTATTATATATTCAATCGTTAGTAATATCTTAGAAGATATATCACTTAGTGTAGCGAGTTCTTGACACTGAATTCTTTGCCAAGAGAATTCAAATAGCAGAGTGGCGCAGTGGAAGCGTGCTGGGCCCATAACCCAGAGGTCCGTGGATCGAAACCACGCTCTGCTAAATTTTTTTTTTTTTCATAAACTTTAAATTAGACAATGCACATATTATTATAATAAAAGAAATTTATTTAAAGCTGTTTCACTAGTAATAATTATTGTAAAATATTCAAATAACACACAAATATAAATATAAATATATATATATATATATATATATATATATATATATATATATATATATATATATATATATATATATATATATATATATATGTGTGT